TTCTCTTGTGTTCATTCTGTGACAGGTACCCCTGGTCTTAACCACATGACCATGTAGATGTCTGTCAATATACTAGGCTTAAACTGACTCCCAGTTCCTTTTTTTTTCCTTAGCTCTTGGGATCTCAGTGCATGACATGAACTGAGCATTATGTCTCTGGAGTTTAAAAGCACCTACATCAGACCCATCAGAGTATGAAAAGGACATCTTCAGGTACATGAAATGACAAAACTCACACTCAGCAATTCTAAGGCACACTTTGCCTCTATGATAAATTTTGTGCTTTCCTTTTTATTCTAGCTGAAAAAAACCTGGATCTCCTTGTACAGCTAACCTAGATCTTATTGTGTAGTCCAAGCTGGACTCAAACTCAGATTTGCCTCCTGAGTGCTGGGATTAAAGAAAGGTATGTGCCACTGCACCTGGCCAAAATCTCAAGTTCTTGTCACTTATGACAAGGATGACCCCCCTGATGACTTCATGGGATTATTACCCACAAAAACTACCACAGTCTTCCTGGGCTTCACTGTCAACTGTCCCAAATCACAGTCCAGAAGTCTTTTACTCTGGAACCACACTAAGGAAGAAAGGTTCTTGATTCTACCTGGACCTTTAAAAGGGACTTTAAAAAGAACAAGAAGAAGTGGAGGAAGAAGATGAGGAAGAGGAGTCAAACTTCTTTGTAATATCTTAAACTGCTTTCGCTTTTTATTCAAATCCTCAAACTGAAATTAGACCTGGTGCCCATCACTCCAGCTATTTGGAAAACTGAGGCAGGAAAATTTGAAAATCTAAGGCCAGACTAGATTATAGAGTCTGCAAATTTGGTCATCAAAGCAAGATAATATATCCAAATAAAAAGTGAAGAGGGAGATGCAACTCGGTGGCAGAGTCCTTACCCAACATGTCAGAGGTATGTTCAATCCCAGCACCAAGGAAACAAAGACCTTCCACTGAAAACCATGGTGTGTGACCAGTAGTCCAATGATACAGCTACCCCTCTCAGCTAAGATCTCCAAGAGCCCCCACACAGCAGATAATGCAGTAGACACGATCCTACAGCACCGTTTCCTTTGATTCTTTCCAATTAATCCTGCTTTCAGTTTACTGAGATGAACAAAGATGCAGACATGGGCGCCATGTTGGATGCTGCTGACAACCTGATACTGCTTCAGAGGAAGATAGCAAATACAAGTTGGATATTAGATAGCAGACATGGGCGAGTGGCAGGAGCCTGGTGGGAATCCACAGACCTTGGTTCTAACCTCCCAAGCAGCAGAAAAGAACAGAAACAGCAAGGATTTCCTTACAAAGATGGCGATGAACTGCAACGGCTGAGAGCTGTTCTCTCTCTGGTCCTCCTAGGTATCTATTAAACATCACTTTTATGTCTAAAATTAGTTCAAGTTATCAGCCCACACTCTCCATGAGGTAATGTTTACATGCTATTTATTTTCTGTGTGAACGTCCTATCCCATTGCTGTCTGTGTGAGATGCATGTTGTGGATACACAATCAGTGTGTACCAAACGAACACATATCCTCATGGTCTGTCCGGTAACATATACTAGGAAAAATCTGAAACCCTTTGCCTCTTTGAGGGCAGAGATATGTGGAACCTAGAAAGCTGAACAAATTCTACCTGTGACAAAACCAAGTGACCAGTTGCTACCGCATGTCCATGAAATCGCTCACAGGCACCACTGTTTGTAACTACAGCGTCTGCATACTCATAAGGAACCCGCTTTGCAAGAAAGGGTTCATTGTGTCCAGATATGAAACACAGAATTTCTCATAGTCCTTGGCTTTGATGTGGCTAATGGTATTGCTCTAAATGGTTTAGAAAGTTCCATCCAATGGAAACAAGCAACTGTGGTTTTCTGAGAGGCTTGCTGCCTCAGTCACAAGTTTTAAACTGAATAACACAATTTCATAAGGACAGGAGACTCTGTAGAACACAGAGCCAGGAAGGCAAAGAAAGTTACGGACAGCTTCATACTTCAACTAATTCCCTTAAGTGAAAGCGTGGAATTGAAGCAAAGTCTTTCCTACCCTTTTGTCTAGCCTATGCTCAAAGCTGTCTCCAGGAGCCCAGGCCGCAAGGCCACATCTTTAGCTACATTATTACCAAGCGACAAGTAACAAAATGATACAGTGAGGATTTTATCCCAGCATGACTGACACGGGCGCTCTACCTCTCACAGAGCATCAGAGAGTAGATAGTGTATCACTGCAGAGCTCATTTCTCTTCTTGTAAGATGACTTTATGTACATGTGGTGGGCGCAGACTATGTCTGAGCATCATGTGAGAGCAGTTCCCTCTAAAGGTCAGAAGAGAGTGTCAGATCTTAGGTGAGTCGAGAGGAAGTGAACCCCAGAGTAGCTACCAGAGCGCAAGTGCTCTCACCACTGAGCGTCTCCCAAGCCCCTCTATAGCTTGCTTCTTTCATCAGGAAAAAGCATGGCTCCCCAACAAAGTTTCTCGGCCACCTCCTCTGAGGTTTTTCAAACACAGGCTGCCAGAAATCGCTCATTTGTTCACTCTTTAGCACCCTTAGTAGAATCCTCCATAAGGGACTCACTCTAACAACCACACTGCATCAGCAATCCACGTTAGCCAAGGCTCAGGTTCTCTCTACTCCTGAACTGCTGGGCTTCACGTGTTCTGAGGAAACGTGACTTGTCCATGAAAAGATAAAGCTATACAAAATAAGCAAATCATGAGCTCCCAGGCCTGTTTAGTCCCATTTATATCCACTCGCATGTGACCTGCTGAATCTCATCTGACCAAGCCGATTAAACATTAAATAATTGCAGTCAATTATACAAATATCAACAATAATATTAATTTGTTGATTGTGCCCGGCAGAGTTGCTTTACGTGTTCTTAATGCTATACTGCCTTGTGACTTAAACAATCAATTAGTGTTGGGATGGTGAGTCTTGAAGAACGAGTAATTGCCTGGTTATAATTTCAACCCTCTTGCTGCATTATACCCCTGCAATTAAATGAATAATGAACAACGAAAAAAAAAAAAAAAAAGAACTACAGATGTTCCTTTGATGAAGTCATTGCAAAGGTCAGCTTTGTATTGTTACTTCAACAAGGATAGCAGATTGTGCTCTGTAAAAATCAGTCCTCCGGTTTTTAAAAAGTGTGTGCCCTTCTCTCCTTCCATTTTAACTGAGCTAACAGGTTTTGACTTAGAAGGTCATAGCATGTGCTCCCCAGCCATCAAATGGACCACTCTTAATTTAAAAGTGTAAAGTCTTAAGTAGACTCAGGGCACACAGGCACCTCCCTTCTCACAGGACTCAGTTTAGTCATCCTGTGCTTCTTAACACTACTATACCTGCTAGTCTACCCTAGACCTAAAGATGAGGTCAAAGGATACAGGAAAGCCAAAGGCATCTCAAGAGGCTGCTACCTCATGGACACGCAGGAAGGATCTTGCAGGAAACGATAGAACTGTTTCAGGACCCTCTCACCCAAGACTTCAGTCGCCAAAGAAAAGGCCCCTGGGACATATTTTACCATCTCTAGTCATGACCTTCTCCATTTTGTTTTACTGTTTCTGTCTAAAAAACTGGACAGCTAAACACCTGGAATGAAACTAAAGTGCTGTGTGTGGCAAATGTTACATGTCTCAAAGACTGTCTCCAATGAGTGGAGTTTTTATAACCCCTCCCCCTGGGCCTCTGAACACAGCCAAGTTCCATCAGTAAGATGAAAGCTACCAAAGCCAAGAAATCAAAGTACACAGCTGAGAGTCAACCTTCGGAGGGTGACTGCTTTCTATCAAGACCTGACTTCCTACTGGATAAACTGGGTCATGAGAGAACTTTTCACTCACAGTTCCTAATCAAGGAGAACATGATCTGGAATTAGTGTTGTTACTGGCTAGGTGCTTATTCAATGCTCATTTAAGAGAAGGGTTCAAAGTGTAGATCCAAATCTGGAGTTTATCTCCCGACCTGCCCCTTTATTTGGCATTTAACACTTAATACATAGCATCTGTCATTTCCATGTGGTTGGCATTTCATCTTTCCAGGGCAATCGCTTCAATTCCAACATAATCATAAAACATAGGACAATTCTTCCAACTGACCTTGTTGTCTGGAGGAGTCCATGGACAAGAAAGACAGCCTGAGGTAAATACTGCTACATGCTGCCCAAATCAGGCACGACTTCCGAAAGGGTTTCAGCATAGAGAGACAGAAGGTACACTTCTATGTTCATTCTCATAGTAAACATGTGCTGAAAATACCTACTATGTGCTGAGCTTTGAGGATACAAAGATCTAGAAGGCACAGGACCCCTAGTCTCATAGCAGCGCAGTGAGCAGCCAATATCGGTGAGATTAGTGCAGACCATGATACCAAGAAGGGACAGAGCCACCTTAACATGGGCTCGGGGACCTACAGAAGCATGGAGACAAGAAATCCAGGTGACCAAACTTTTGATTAAAAGACAAAAAATAAAAAAATAAAATCAAGATAGGACACCTGTCAATCACCCCAGCATCCAGAAGGCTGAGTGAGACTGGAAGAGTGCTCTGAGACTGAGACCAGCCTGGACAGACATTAGGGAATACCAGGCCAGCAGAGCTACATAGGGAACCCAAATCTGTCAATTACAAACAAACAACAAAACAAAAAAACCCTCACCAGCCAAAGTAACAAAGATCCCCACTCTGAGGGTACCCATGAGTCACAGGGAGGCCTCCTGTGACAGTTCCTCAGCAGCCTTTCCAACACATAGACGTGTCATTGGTTGGGGAAACCTATTCTTCTACTAAGGATCTGGTACAGGATGAGAGACATTATTCATCAATGTCTTTCCAAGGAAAGGTACAGTAAGCAACTACTACCATGTTTACAGGTGACATTCAACACTGGTAATTTTCTGTGGCTCAAGGAAAAACCTTGCTTGGTAACACATGAACAACACAACTACAATGTGCAAAAACTGGTCACAGGTGGTCCCAGCTTGAGGGCGGGAGTCGGTCTTCTGTGGCGCCCCGTCACTGATACTCTGAGTCTGTCCATCAGGGTAACTCGATTGTCCAGTCACTCTCGACCCTTCCATACTAAAACAAAAGCAAAAACAGGTTTCAGTCTAAAAGAGAGCAGCTTGACAAACCCTCAGCCCTCACTGACTCCATCAGCTGAGGCAGGGCTCAGCAGCTAAGAGCTCAGACTGATCTTTCAGAGGACCTGGCTTTAATCAGTGCCTGCGTTGATTCCAGCTCTATTGGAATCGACACCCTCTCTGGCTTTCATGTGCACTGGTACTTACAAGTGCACATACCCCACCCTCTATTCCCATAGACACATAATTAAAGATAAAAGCAAATCTTCTACAAAAAACAAAAAATTGAGTATGTTAGCACATACTTATGGGCCCAAGCACTTGGGAGGTGAAGACAGTAGGAATCTATAGGCATTTAAGGCTAGCCTGGGCTATCTCAATCAATCAATAAAATGATAAGGGCCTCAGTATGAACCTGTAGTTTCCTTTGCCTACTCCATGAAACAAGAGCTCGTTCCCCCTACCAGTCTCCCTGACGCCTGAGGCCCAGGCTTCGAGCTGCCCCAAGGTGGGCATGGTGGTGTCAATATCTATCTTGTTAGGATAACGTGGAAGAATTTGACACTTGCTGTGATGTGACATTTGTTGCCATCTCTTCAATGGCTCTGGTTTGAAGGCTCTGTCCCCGGGGGTGGAACTACCAAATGATAGCAGAACTTAGGGTGTGGCCTTGGCTTTTAGCTCGATGGAGCTGTTGCCTTGAATAGGACAGTGACCATCCCCACCTCCACCCCTCCATCCCTACCACCCCCAAGCTACATGGGAACCTGACACCTGCCAGTCTCAGACACCAGACAAATGTCGAATCTCTAAAACTGTGAGCTAGACAAGCCTTTTCTCATTATAAAATCGCTAGCTCAAGTATGTTGTTTAATAATATGAAATTCATGAATGCCATATCGTTCAAGACATTTCCTATCTCTTCCTAGAATACGTAAATACACAAGAGCAACACATGATCTGCATTTTTTTTTTTAAAAAAAAAATCTTTCTGGAGAGATGGCTCAGTGGTTAAGAGTGCTGACTGCTGTCCAAGAGGACCCAGGTTTGATTCCCAGCACCCATGTGGTAGCTTACAACAGTCTGTGATTCTGGTTCCAGAGGAACTGATGCCTTCTTCTGGTGTTTGTGTGCACTGCATGCACGGTGCATAGACAAAAAAGCAGGCAAAACACTCATACACATAAAATAAAAAGGAGATAGACAGTAATAAAGGTTAAAAAAATTATCTTGGCATCTCATTCCTTCTTTCAATTAAGAAAATATTACTGTCTATATATGCTCTACCCTAGACCTGTGCTAAACCATAGGGGACATAAGGAGAAATTTAATATAAAGCAAAAACAAAACAACCCAAGCATTCAAACAGCTGTAGGAGGAGACTGGCGTGACTGACTATAATTGAACTTCAGGTAGCAAGAGATATTTAAAAGGTTTCCACAGGAGGTGTGTGCCATACATGCTCTGGAGGAATGCTGTAAGGTTCAGGGCCAGCCTTGTCTACACAGTGAGACCCTTTCTCAAAAACAAACCCAATGAAAAAAAATTGCTCCAGAGATGAATGCTGAAGGACAGCCACTACCCTATAATACAACCAAACTGTAGGAGGGTCAACAGAGATGGGCGGGGCCTCATAAAACAAACAAAGATTTTTGAGGTGAGAGATGACCTGGGAGTGTAGGGTGGATAGAAACAAGACAGGCGGCATGGTGGAGTTCACCTTGGCTTACGTAAAGACCCAGGAGTGCCTCTCCCAGTTGATTATAAAAAGGAGTGGGGGAGGGAGAACACAACAAACTTGTATTGGGCTTGTGCCCTTTGTTCAGTAAGCACCCAGGGATCAATGTGGATAATTCGCTACACCGGACAAGTATTTATCCTAATATTCAGAAGTACAGAAGTCTACACATCTGAGGTTTCAAAAATTCCCCCTGGGTCATATTGGCAAGAGCTTGCTTGGGCTTTGGTTTTTTTTTTTTTTTTGTGGTTTTTTTTTTTAAACTCTTGTCTTTAATTTTGCGGAACACTTTGTAAGGAAACATCATGTCTCCATGATCAAATGTCGAACATGATGTAACATCAAACTTCTTTTTTCCCCACTCAGTAATTACTAAGATTATTTTTCTTGGAAACAGACGAGCTAGCCGCTTGGCTAACAGCACCAATTTGCCATCTTGTAAGAGGATAATTTGGAGACTTGAGGACACAAGCATAAAATAATTGAGGGAAAAGGATGTGGTTTTGATTACAAACGGGAGGCCCTGTTGCTTAACACGTTGGGGTACACAGGGTGCACGTGCTGCGTGACAGACTCTGAGACATCTCTGATCTCCTGTGCCTGAGGTTAAGACCTTTGTCTTTGTTCTGTATGGATTCTGAGTGGACCTGAGGGGCTGGTTTGGTTTGTTTTTAAAGACAGACTCTCTTGAAGCCTAGGATGGCCTCAGACTTGCAGTTTATGATGGCTGTGAACTTCCGATCCCCCCACTCCACCCACCAAGTGCTGAATTACCAGCATGCACCTGCAACTGGAGACACCCTACTAGCCAGGGTGCTTCCCCGGCCCTGGTTTGGATTAAGTGTCACCACCACTAAATCACCATCACCGAGGCACATAAGTCAATTCCAGCCCTGTCTCCTATTTTTAATATATTTTCCATTTTTACAATAACATGTTATACTTTTAAATCAGAATTTTAAGTAAAGAAACTTGCATTTATTCTGGAATGATAGCTGACTTGACGTCCCTCAGGAAGACCCCACTATCCCTTCTTTTTTTTTTACCATCTCTCTTCCCCCTTCTGCCATACTCAACACTCATCCTATCTTCCTTAAGTTTAAATTATGCCTTGAACCACACCACTTCATCCCTTCCCTTTGTGGTTCTAATACAGGGAGGACACAATGCTTTAACGCTAAACATAGGCCCTCTCACTGGACAACAACCTGAACCCCAAGGAGATTTTTTATATATTTTTTTTCTTTTATGTATCTGGGTATTTCACCTGCATGTATGAGTGTGTGCCTGAGGCACCCAGAAGAGTAGTACCAGAACTCCTGGAACCAGAGCTGTGAACCGATGAGGGGGTGCTAGGACATGAACCCAGGTCCTCTACAAGAGCAGCAAATACTCTTATCCCCTGGGTCATCTCTCCAGCTGGCTCCCAAACCCTGTGTGGTAAAAATGACTACCTGGATATCAGTCAGCTTTTCCAGGATGCGACTTGCAAGCTTAGGGCCATTCTCCATTGTTGGGATGTGCAGCATCTGAGGAAGGAAGGAGAAAGGAGTCTGAGGGAGTGAGGCACACACGGTGCCAATGGGAAGATCATTCCTACAGCAGGAAGGCAATCCCCCAGACCAAGAGAGGCACCGACACACTGTCAACACGGGTTACCTCCCTGAATCTTTACTGAGAACTTGAATAAAAACCAGTCAATCGATGACAACATATTCTTCTCCTACGGACTCAGTCGAAGGCACAAAAAAGGTTTGAATGCTGTTCTTCAAGGTGGTTTAAGGAATTCAGAATAGGAGTGGTCCCCAAAATGGTAGACTAACTCAACCCAGGAGTCTAAGAATCCACAGGATAAATAATTGCCCTCTACTGAACACGCTGGCAAGGAACCAGACCTCAAAGATATTTCGCCACAAATGAAAGCAAGTCATTTCAAAGGGATGAATTAAAGCAAGGCTCTTCTTTTACATAAGGGGTTTCTGAACCTACATCAGGGCAAGGCGCACCTCCACGGGCCACAACTCCCATGGGAAGGCAAGGTTAAATTCCTAGCTGAAAGAGATCTCATGCCCTTGGCTTCTATCTGAGCCGTGCCTGTTCATGCCTAGCTGGCGGGCTGGCTTTTGATGCTTTGATATTTAGTAGATAGCTCATATTCTCAAACACTCTTCTTATTACGCCTTTTATTATAATACGATAATTAGGAACCCTCTGGGCTCTGAATGACTCCCTGAAGCATTTAGGAGAGGCATTAAAAACAAGTTAACCTTTGTAAACTTTTTATTTCTACAGCGGAGTAACAATTGGATTTTAGTTACTAAAATGGACAAATAACATGCCTAGATATTGCCATAAAATACTCAGACTGGGCCCTAACAATCCTTTCTTCCTCTCTGTGCTTTATCTATCCCTGGCATGCATTCCTCCTCCCCTCTCTCTGCCATATCAACATAAAACCAGGTACTTCCCCCACTGGGAAATATCTGCATGTCAAACTGCATCAGCAGCCAGCCCTGAAGAGCAAATTCTAAAGTGTTAAGCAAAACATAATAACAAATAATAATGATAATTAATAGTGATGATAATTAATAGCGATCAACCCAGTCAACTGAGATTAGAATGTTCGATTCATACATTGGGGGAATTTTTATCTAGCAAGTCATCAGAAGTAGTAAGTCTTGTCGGAATGACACCTATCCACCTACAGAATAAAGCCTACACAGTTACAGACTGCCTGGATGCCCATCAGCACCATCTACATATTTATGGAGCGCCTGTAAAAGTCATTCCTTTATCTTCACACTATAAAGACAGAGGCTGACAGATGTGCATGAGGACTAGATGTTTTCTACAAAAGGAAAAGCCCTCCAACTAGCAAAATAGTGCATACATGACCCAAGTAAAAGTGGATTAGTGGGGGCTGGAGAGACGGCTCAGTGGTTAAGAGCACTGGCTGTCCTTCTAGAGGACCCAGGTTTGATTCCCAGCACCCGCATGGTTGTCTGTAACTGCAGTGTCAGGGGATCCAGACAACCACTTCTGGCCTCCACAGGCACTGCACACGGTGCACAGACAAAATACCCGTACATATGAAATGAAAGATCTGTTCTTTAAAAAAAAAAAAACATCAGGCACATATAGCAAGAAGATAATAGCACATCTTGAGGGCGTCACTTGAAATGTCTGTGCAGTGTTCTACCGAATCCTGACGACGGACGAATGAACTTTCACCTCTGTGCATTCTGTGTATCTGAGGCTGCTCCACTCCTAATGTGGCAGAGGTTGAAAGCACAGTCACTCAGACCACTGACACCCACCTGCCTCCTGTGCAGCCTTCCTCAGCCGGCTGGCAGAACCAGGTGACCTCGGAAGTCTCCTTTCTGACTGAATTGGGCTCACATATTTGCCAAGGTCAGGGCTGACTTGCTATCATGGTTGAGTTCTCATGAAACCACTAGGCCCATCCATTGACTTCATTCAATTACAGGTAAATGTTTTTTAAACTCCATTCATTCATTTACTTGTTTATTGTGGGGGGGGGTTGCAGTTTGCAGGCAAACATAGGAGGTCAGAGGTAAGCTTTGAAAGTCACTTTCTATTTTTCCACTGCGTGGGTCCCAGGGTTCTCAGCCTGGATGATCTCACCAGCCCTGGGCAAAGGGCTAGGAATGACAGACATATACAACTATTTGTCTTACCTGGCCGTTGTACAGAATATCTGAAACTGGGCAGACAACGCAGGCTGTCCCTGAGCCAAACATCTCCTTTACTCTGTTCCCCTCCAGGGCGGTGGCCAGGTCACCCATGGTGAGGTGTCTCTCGCATACCTTAAACTCACCCTGTTTGGAATGTTAACAAGAGGAGGAAGAGAAGGAGAAGGAGGTAGTAGTAGAGGAAAAGAGAAGAAGAAGAAAGAGAAGAAAATTAAGTCACTGTGTATCTTTAGATCTGGCTGATCTTGGATGGTGTCATAATGGTCCCCTGGGGGGAGCAGGAAAGGGCCCACTGTGCGATTATTTTAACATGTTGAGTGGGAAAGGGCACACAGTGTGACTGCCCAACATCCTGAGCAACCTATTTCCAAATCACAATTTTCAAATGGTCTCCTCTAGATGATCCCCTCAGAGTCGTGGCACGCTTTCTCACATGGCTGCTTTAGGACATGCGTGTTGTCATGGATCTCACACGCTGACTCGATGTAAGAGCCACATAATGCATTTTCCATGTCTTTCATGATAAAGGAGAAAATTGGTACGATAATTGCCGTTGGCCTGGTACCCACCATGGACCAGGGTCTTTAATGCTGAAGACATCCTCTCTACGTTACAGTTGAGGATGCTTGGGTTCCAGATGGGGAGGGGCTTTCCCAAGGCCAAACAGCTGGTAAACAGTGAGAACTAGATTTGAACTCTACCTCATCTGATTGCCTTCAAAATTAGTAAAAAAAGAAAAAAAAAATCACAAACTTTCATAGGCTGAGCTCAGAGAGCTTTAGTAGTTGCTCTTTGTCAGGAGCCAGTGTTTCAACTTTAGATGAGAAGTTCCAGTGAGAGCTGTTGCGATTTTGTTCAAAATTAGATAAATTATTAAACAAGTGAGTTCCAGAAAATCAGCGAATATTACTGAGAACTGCTGATGTCTGCATTCTGGAGAGAAGAAACAGAAAAAATAATCCTTTTGTAAATCAACAGATCAGTGCTTGCCTGGCTCACCCTTGTCTGGGGATTAGCTCCCCTATCTGGCAAGCCTTGACCCCAGTGCCTCTTGGCATTTTCAACAAAGCTTTAAAATAAGCTGTGGTTAAGGAGTCAAGAAAACCCCTCCAGAATAACCCATTCCTTCAGAATAACCTATATTCCATACTTGGGAGCCGGACCTGTGGAACTGGCCCACACTCACCTTGTTGGCCAACCTTCTGTGCTTGGTTAATTCATTCTCTTAATAAAACAGAAATTACTGAGCTTCAAAAAGCTATCCTTCCAACTGCAGACATATTTGGGACAGGGCAAGCTGTTGAAATTAAACCAGCAGCTTGCAAATGTCGTGCCCAACGTGCGCCAGCCAACAGGCGGCAGTTGGGTTTTGTCTACTCTGGACTTGGTAGGATTATTCCGCTCACAGACTCTGTTTCCAGTCTTCCAGAGAAACTGCTGGTCTGCTCCAAAATTATGTGTGTGTCCTAACATTTGTGTACTAGGACTGTCTGACCACTGTGTGCTGAAAACCTTTTCATGGTCTCTGGGGGCTTTTAGAACACGTCAGACATTAGTACCAGCCAAGAACCCCTGCTAGTCAGCCAACTGACTACACATCTTTCTTATAAATACCATGTCAATTCAAATAACAAACATCCTAAGACTCCAGCCTCTGTCACAGGGATGCAAACGGTCACAGAAAACAACGCTACATTTGCTTTGAGTGTTTTTAATTTTAAAATGAGCATGAGTGGAAATCTGAGACCCTGGACGCAGGGGGTAGTGGGGGAAGATAAAAAGCAGAACGAACATTACGTTGATATTAATATGTCAATTAAGATCTGTAGCTCCCACTATAGTGACAGGCGTACTGGAATACAGTGCAGGGTATGTCATCAGTGCCATGTGGAATACCTCACAGCTGAAGTTAAGGCTGGGTAGAAACACCCAGTGTGAACTAGGTTGGCTTAGAGGGCACCCCGTACACAGACTGAGGCTAGGATAGAAGGCCTCCTCACTGAGACATCTGGGTCAGCTGGTTCCCTACTAAAAAACTTCTGCCAACACAGACTTTCTAGTGAGATCTTCGCTTGAGGTGAGATGTAAAGATTAGATAACACAGGTGGGAACTAGGGGGTATGATATCATTGCAAAGGGAGACTCGTTCTGATTGTGTGTGTGTGTGTGTGTGTGTGTGTGTGTGTGTGACTGTCTGTCTGTGTCTCTGTGTGTGTCTGTGTGTGTGTCTGTCTGTCTGTCTATCTGTGTATGTCTGTGTGTGTGTGTGTGTGTGTGTGTGTGTGTCTCACAGAAGTTGTTCAGGCACTCACCCACTGCTGTGTCAGCTCCAGGATGCTCTGCCTGGTCACTCCCGGGAGAATGATGCCATCTAGTGGGGGCGTTGCCAGCTCTTCTTCTGTCAATTAGAAACAGGGATGTTGGCAAGATTTCCCTTGTTAGACAACATCCTGCAGCAGTTGCAATTCTTAAAGCCATTTTAGTATAAGAACAGAAGAGCCGTCTCAGTGGACGCCAACAGCTGCTGCTGTTCAGGACCAGAGTTCTGTTCTCATACCCACATAAGAGGCTCACAACCGCCTGTGACTCAGCTCCAAGGTGTCCGGTCCTCCCTTCTGGACTCCACGGCCCCTGCACTCATGCACGCATTCATTCCTCCACACAGACACTCGGTTAAGAATATAACAAATTTTCTTAAATAAGCAGAGACAAACAGATGACCCAGTGGGTAAAGGCACTGGCTAATGAGTTTGGTCCTCTGGAACCTCTCGGCAGGAGGGAACTGACTGCTGTAAGTTGTCCTCTGACCACCACACATGTGCCATGGCAGGGATGTACATGTGCAAGCGCGCGCACACACACACACACAAATAAATGTTAAAAGTGTTTAACCCAGAAAGGTAGTGCCTTATGTAACTATCTTCCATTTATCACAACCAGTGAAATGATGAAAGACAAGGTAAGAATTAGAGGCTGGAGTCACAGCTAAGCTAGCCGTCCAGAGCACTTACTATTCCTGCAGAGGACCCAGCTCGGGCGACTGACAATTGTCTATGACTCTAGCTCCAAGCATCCAAGCGCCCCCTGCTGGCTGCAAAGGGTACCTGCATACACATAGATCTTACACACAAGCTAAAGAATACACAAGTGCGTGCACACACACACACAAGTAAATAAATATAAATAAATAAAATTTTAAAAAATAAATTCTATCCTCAGAAGTGATAATCAATCCTATCCTCAGAAGTGATAATTAAGGAATATTCTTCAAGATGAGCATCCAAGTCAAAATTATTCCTTAATTAATAAAAAAAAATTGGTACTTATAACAACACACATAAAATCTTGCTCAGGACCCAAGTCAGTTCCACACCCAGCAGTTCTGTGAGGAGCCCCATCACCTCAGAACTGGGTAGCCTGAGCCGGAAAGATGACTGGTGGCAAGCATTTGTCAGAGGCCTGAGTTCAGATCCCAGCACCCACATAAGTGCTGGGAGGGGTGGCTCGCACTGGAGCTACTTCCTGGCCAACTAGTCTAGCTAAACCAGTAGCCCTGGGCTCAGTGAAAGACCTTGTATCTCAGCACATAAGGTAGAAAAAAAGCAAAAGACACACTACTTCAGTCCTCTGGCGTCCACAGCAGTGCACCCCACACCCCACACCCCACACAAACACACACACACAAGGGAAGACACCCTACCTCAGTCCTCCGGACTTTACAGCAGCATATACCACACACAATGAATGCACTCACACGCGGGAACACACACACATACACAGAGTTCTTCCTCCCAGTGCTGCCTGCACACTGCCTTCAGAAGCCCACATCACCTGCCTTTCAAGCTACACAGGTGTTGCGTGAACACGGGGGAGATTCAGAGTTCCCCACAGAGATCTGAAGGCAGTGGGCTCAGGGGGAGGCTTCATGTCTTCAAAAGAAGAAAAGAGAAAATGCTAACACAGTCTCAAGAGATGGACTGCTGCTCTGACTACACAGGAGACCCCAAGTGAACGCTCCACAGTTGAAGGCCAGGCACAGCGCTCCAACTGTAAGCACCAGGTAACCCTCCGACACACAGGCTCCCCCTTTAAAGTCACTTTGGTGGACTGGGGGAGTAGATCAGTCGGTGGAATGCTTACAGAGTATCTGTGAAGCCCGGGGTTTGATCCCTGCACCACATGAATTGGACGTGGGTGACTTACAAATAAATGTAATCCCAGCATTAGGGAACTAAAAAAGACAGAATTGGGAATTCAAGGTCATCCTTAGATCAGATTTGAGACTAGACTGGGCTGCATGAAGCTCTACCTTTAAAAGAATCGTCCTTGGTAGTCAACATCCCCCTTTCCTTCCCACCACTGGCATTGAGCAATGGACCAACAAGCCTTAAATATCATCTTACAAAGATACTGAACCTTATAACAGACAGCCTGCCTAAGACCTACCCCCTGCTTGCAGAGGAAGTCACAAATATGCTTAGAGAAACACCAGGTAGAAGCAGGGGGAGGGGGGATTGTCTTGATGTTTTGGGGTTCCCCTGGGACCTTGAATATAGATAGAACTAACCCAAGTCAATCCTTATTTTACCAGGTCAATCCTTATTTTACCAGAGACACAAATGTATGTTTGCCCAGGCTAGTGACTGAGAAAAGGCTCAGATCACACAGCAGTGTCCTGGCCCTGGGGACTACTGCTCTGTCTCAGGGTGAGATGAATCTAGGATCTCTGCTCTCCGTGATGCTTTCTAGACATCTGCCCATCTTTGTATGGCCCAGTTACTGCACGGTGCCTGGCCTAGGGAGGCACAAAAGTTTTCGTTTTGTTTTCATGTGTATGGTTATTTCGCTTACTGTATGTATGTGTGGTACACGCATGTAGTGCCCATGGAGTACCTGTATATATGTGTGGTACACTCGTGTAGTGCCAGTAGAGGGCAGAAGAGGGCACCAGATCTGTAAGCGCTTGGGAACTGAACCTGGATCCTTTGAAAGAGCAGCTCGTGCTCCTAGCCGTCACGGAGACATTTCCCCAGCCTCCATAATAAGTATTTTTAAATTTTAAAATATGGAAAAGTGAGCTCTCTTTGCTGAGCTGCAGCAGGGATCATTTGTTTTCTGAAAAATTGCTTTTTAGAAAGAAAGAGATTGCTCCTGGCAATGTTCCCAAGGGTACTTGTCATTTGTTAAGTGTTTGTGGTCTCAGAATAAAAGTGTTTGGGATAACTCGTTAGCTAGGCACAGAATCGCATGGATGTGTGTGTGTGTGTGTGTGTGTGTGTATGCAGTTGTCACACACAGAGAGACCTTTCCTACAGTTAGAGCAATTCTCAGACAACACTGACTTAAGCCCAAACAGCAGCATTCACACATGCAAAGGCTGTTCTGTGAAATGAATTTAGCCTCCTACTGTGACCACCAGTCTGGGGTCAAGAAACAGAACATCTGTCCCCTGATTCCCAGACAGAGCTGACGACATGGGACATCTGTCCCCTGGCTCCCAGGCAGAGCCGGGGACGTGATAGCATTTGGGTGAGAAGTACTCATTTGCCTCTAAAACCACAAACACCCTCCCAGGAGCAAGAGCGAGTTCCAGAAACAGAGCCCCACAGACATGGCTGTGACTCAGCAAATGCTGCGGTTGGTTCCTGTCCTGTGCTCTGTGGGCTGCTGTGTTCATCTGTCCCCATCCTCCAACCTCCAACAAGGAGAGTCGCAGGAGGGTTCTGTTACATGGTGTTAGGTTATCAGTGAGACAGAGAAGAGGGGTAAAAAGGCCCAAGGGAGAGGAACCTTTTTATTTTTTATTTGTGTGTGTGTGTGTGTGTGTGTGACTTTATGTCCATGTGCACAAGTGCCTGTGGACCTCCTGGAGTTGCAGCTGTGAGCTGTGAGCTGCCAGGCATAGGTGCTGGGAACTGAATTTGAGTCTTCCAAAGGAGCAGAGGTTTCATCCTGACCTACCCTCATCCACCCCCTTTGGCCTTCTAAACACCCCAGTGGAAGAAACAAACACATTGAAACTAAAACTGGCTTGGGCAAAAGTTATAAAGTCTAACCCTTAGTAAGGCTTCACGTATTTTGCGAGAGGCAGAAAACAAACCCTCTCATCCCTACCATGATCTGCCACGTAAGCATGTGCCATGACTTCCGTCTAGATAAGGAACAATTATTGACCAGGACAGTGTCTGGCTAGCTTGTATAGCTATGATGTAGATGGTGGTTAAGTCCTTGACATCTCCCATAAATAATGACTTTGCCTTTTCTGAATGATGTCCCTATTTGTGTCTGTGGTGCTGGTGGGTGGGGACTGGGTCAGGAGTGGTCAGGGAGGAAGATGTCTCCTGAACACAGAGGTCAGCACTGGCCAGCTTCTTTCTATCATCACTTCAGATGTATGTTTATGTGACGTGCCAGTTTGAAAGCCCCCAAATTCCAGCATAAATTTGGTTTTCTTACATTTCCAAGTACAAACAGCAGAAGTCTCGTGTGTCTGGCTGAATCACATGCCCAGGGTCAGAGGACACCACCAGAGGTGCCCGGAGCCAGCTCAGGGCAGGCTGTAAACTCTCCCTCGGATAGAACATAAGGCTGGCCTGTACTCACATCAGCGTGCAGGGCTGCACTCAACCTTAGCTGAACCATCTCTTCCTGCCTCGATAGCAAAATGAAGCCGGTGTGGAGAGGGCTGCTGCAAAGCAACAAGTTCTTTAAAAAATGGTCACTGAAGCCAAGACTGGGAGCTTGTACGTGGAAGCATTCTTTGACTGTGTGTGTGTGTATGTGTGTATGTGTGTGTGAGTGTGTGTGTGTGAATGCGTGTGAGCGTGCGTGTGAGTGTGAGTGTGTGTGAGTGTATGTGTGTATGTATGTGTGTGTATACGTGTGTGGGAGAGAGAGAACATATATGCATGTTTAAGCATGTGTGTGCATATATAAGCCTGTGTGCACACCTGTGTGTGAATATACATGCAGAAACAGAGGACAACACTGAGTATCTTCCTCTCGTGCCCTCCAAGTTATTTTTGAGTCAGTGTCTCTCGCTGAACTTGTAGCTTAACCTATTGGGGAGGCCGACTGCTCAGAGAGCTCCTGGGATTTGCCTGTCTCCACTTCCTGACGCTGGCTTTAGAAACATAAACAGTCACACCCATGACTTCATTCCACATTCAAAGTGTCTGTAATTACCATGAAATAAACCATCTATAAACATAAACAGGTCTTAAAAAAAAAAAATGTGCTCCTAGGTTCTGTAGACCTATCAGAATGCTAACGGTCAACACAGGTCTACTCTTCCTCCTGCTTTATGTCATTTCAGTCAATGCTGTATAAACCGCCAACATTTCCCGGAACTCATATCAAAGCAGACACTGAGCATTCAGGATGCTAAAGATAGTCTCACGTGCTTATAATCACAGCATTCTACAGCCCGAGGCAGAAGGATTTCTGTAAATTTGGGGCTGACACAGGCTACCGAGTGGAACCTTGTCTTAAAAAAAAACAAAAACAGAAACCTCAAGCCAGGACAATTCCCTATATTCCTGACATACAGAATGCAGGATCTAAAGTTCAACGCCAGCCCTGAAGGCATAATGAGTTCAAGGTTATCCTGGGCTATTCACACAGGACCTTGACTCAATAAAACAGAGTATCTGTGATTTACATGTAGTGGCCAGCAGGTGTCACTAAACATGGATCTGCTGGCAATCAGGATACTTTGGGTTTTACTTAATATAGTCATTTATTTTGTGTGGGTATGTGTGGATACACTCATGCCAGGCCATACGTGTCGGAGGTCTGAGGACAACTTTTGGGAATCACTTTGTTTTTTCCACCTTGTGGGTAGTGGGTATTTAACTCAGGTCATCAGGTTTGGAGGCAAGCACCCCCACCCTCTAGTCTTCCTTGTAGCCCTAGATTGTAGGTTAATCAAATGAAATGGAAATGCAGAGAAAACCCATAGGACTTGTGAGATGCTGTCAACAGACGGAGAAAGGATACCAGTTCTGAAGAGAATTCTATGAGAAAGAGAGGTCTGGGCTCCACCAGCAGCAGAGCCTAGACAACAGCACCATGAAGTAAAACAGAAGACCATGGGGTATTACAACCACACCTGGAGGAGCATGCCTGCAACCACAACCACTCAGAAGGCTCCTACAAGACCATAAGTTCCGGGTCAGCCTGGGGTGCACAGTGAGTTAAAGCTAGCTCAGGAAACTTTAAGAGCCTCAACATATGAAGTAACACGGGTAGAGTCCAAGAGAGAGCTTGCCTAAGTTCAACTCACAGTTCTGAACAAAAAGGAAGTGTTCACTAATTCTCCTCCCTATAGACAATAGGCAGTTTACTATAGCATGGTATAGAGCAAATGGTCACTGAACTAACCAAGACTCATCACCGAAGAATGTCATACACTAAGAGAGGGCAAAGGAGAGGAAAAAAAAAAAGATCACTATTTTAGGGGAAAAAAAAAATATGTCTATGTGTTATGCATGCAGTACCCCTGGAGTCCAATAGAGGGCACTGGATCCCCTAAAACTAGAGTCACAGACAGTTGTGAGACACAGTGTGGTTGCTCAAAAACAGAACCCAGGTCCTCCACAAGAGCAGCCAGTGCTTTTACATGCTGAGCCATCTATATGGCAGCTGAGTTTGAAACCAGGCGCAAGCTTCTCAAGCCAAACAGCAGAAACAAGAATAAAAACCGACCCTGATATGGTCTCCACAGCACCCGCTAGACCCCGCCCCTGCGCTGCTGTTGCCTTCCGTCCTTGCTGCCCCTGCGCCCTGGCTGCCCCTGCGACCTTGTGTGATCAGCTGCCAAGTCACCAAAAGAGCGATTACCTCCGTCTTCATTTATCCAGTAGAGGAAAAGATTCATTGTGCCTACTTCAGTTATCTGGTTGTCCGTGCCGTACAGCCAGAGGACCTGCTGACAGCCGTTCTCCAGTGCTTCGCACTGCGCCAAAAGGGACGCTCCATAATTGCTGGTGAGGAAAAGAAGACCTGCTGTTAGGAACATGCATCACCACACGGCTGCCTTCCACTCTAACTGCCTCAAGCTTTTATTCATCCATTTGAGTGTGTGTGTGCATGTGTGCATGTGCGTGTGTGTGTGTGTGTGTGTGAGTGTGCGTGTGAGTGAGTGTGTGTGTATGAGTGTGTGTATGAGTGTGTATGAGTGTGCTTGTGCGTGTGAGCGTGTGAGTGAGTGTGTGAGTGTGTGTGAGTGTGTGTATGAGTGTGTCCGTGTGAGTGAGTGTGCTTGTGAGTGAGTGTGTGTGAGTGTGTGTGTGTGTGTGTGTGTGTGGTGTGTGTGTGTGTGTTAAGACTTGAGGGTGGGCGAGATGGCTCACTTCATTAGAAGGCCTGCTCAGCTTCCATCCGCAGATCCCACAGGGTGGCTAGAGTAAACCCACTTCCATGATTTGTTCTCTGACCTGATCTCCATACACACACTATATGTGCACGCATATACACAGACACACCAAAAAAGAAAAAGACACACCAGAAGAAAGCAACTGTTCCAGCCACAGGGACAGAGGCCACATGTCTACCTGTCTGCAAACCTTGAACATTAGATTATAATCCACTTATAATTTTGGAAAATTAGTGGTCTTAAAACTTGGTTAAGAAATCCTTGACATTGTCTCTGCTGGGAAGACCATAGGCCATACTCTGGGTTGAGGCTCCAACAGACTTCCCTTAAAACAATTCTTCCCTGGGCTGGAAAAGGGCTCGGCCAGTAAAGGAGCTTGCTGCCAAGCCTAGTGACCTGGGTTTGATCCCAGGACCCATGTGGTGGGAGGAAAGAACTGAGTCCCGTGAGTTGTCTTCTGACCTGCCATGCGTGCCCTGGTACATACATCTGACACACAAATGACTTAAGTAGCTGTAGGACAGACAGACATGGATATTAAAAGACAAGTGCTGCCCTGGCAGAGGAAGGCGGGGAAACTGGATTTGAGAACTAGCCTCGAACTCAGGCCTGAGTGTGAATCAAGTGGTCAGCTACTCAAGCTAACACATCTCCACTCGCTCCCAGAGTGCCTCAGGCTCCCTGAGAGTTAAGTGAAGTCTTATTTAGTGCTTAAGTGCCCTATGGTTTGTTTTGTTTGTTTATATTTGCTTGTTTGCTTGCTTGATTGATTGTTTTCTCTCTCTCTCTCTCTCTAGCTGCTTAGTGCTTTCAAATGGGAGCCCAAAGTGACCTGGTTTTCCTATTCCCTGCCGTGTGGAGATCACGCTCACACATAACGTTAACACAGGAAATGGTCGGCCGATGCACACGTGCTTTTTAGCACAATTCATGAACCTTAAAGCCAGAGGCAGAATATTCTCTCCCTTGGTGATGTCCAGCCACACCCTCAGAACCTGTGACTGTGTCAGCTCACTCAAGTCTTCATGTAGCCACAATGTCACCATGACGATGGCCCAGGGACAGCCTTGAACTGAGGGAGACACACACTTCCCCACAGGAAGGTCTGAGGGTAACTTGCAGTGGGAAAGAGTGACCAACTTTGAAACTGATACAGGTGCCATAAAACTTGGTTATTGACATGGGCAGAGAGGGACAAGAAGTGACCCATTGTACAAATAATGGGGGGCTAGGGGAATGAAAAGGGACACTTTAATATTATGTGCCATTAGGAGACATTTGTACTCCGTGTTGGGAGACTAAACACACATGTTAACAACTTCACACATGCACGCTGCTCAGAGTTTGTTCTGGGTTAACCTCCCTACCATCTACCTGGTCTACACCAGTCACACTTCACAGTATATTAGAGGATGTAATTAGAGACAGCAAGAAACCATAACAAGAGAGGTGCAGAGGCTGGAGAGACAGCTCGGTGCTTAAGAGCACTTGCTTCTCTTGCAAAGGACCCTGGTTCAGTTCCCAGCACTCACATGGCAGCTCACAACTACCTAAAAGTACTCTTCTGGCCTCCAAGGGTACCAGGAAAGAACATGAAAGACTTGCATGCAGGCAAAGCACTCATACATATGAAATAAAATTTTGAAACAAGCATGAGAGGCAAGGGTACCACAGGTCTCAGAAAACTGATTGTGCATCAGACTGAGCTCGGAGGAGGGCTGGTTTGTGTTAACTCCACCCCTTCCTGTGAAGCTTGCTGGAGGTGGACGAGGTGTGAGGTGAGATGATATTACATTGTTATTCTGTTTTCTCAGATCACGGCTCTGTGAATAAGACATGCCTAAAGCTTCAGTTCCTTGCTCACTGACAACATGAACGCTGATATTCCAGTAACACAGATATGCACTGTGTGTGTGTGTGTGTGTGTGTGTGTGTGTGTGTGTGTGTGTGAGAGAGAGAGAGAGAGAGAGAGAGAGAGAGATGACACAGGTGCAGAGAGCTTAACTGGGTTCTCTGGAAGAGGAGCAAGTGCTCCTAACTGGTAGGTCGGGAGGCTAGAATTCTGTAGCAGACAGATACTGCTCAGATGAGATGTAACAATGTTGCAAACACCAAGAAAGAAGAGACCTGAGGCACCCAAGCTACAGTTTTCTAGAGAAGCCCATCTTCTAGAACTGCTCTGAAAGGAATGGGGACCACATGGGGCTTGTGGGACACCTTTTGAATCTGGCTGCCACTGTCCCTCAATCTAGAGGCCTATCACTGGGCTATGACTTTCCTAAACGTCTCAGAACATCACTGAGAGTCACGTCCCAGGAACATCTCTGTATGTCACCAGCTGATTCAGACCTGGGAAGAGCCCAGGGTACTTGCTCCTTCTACTGTATCCACCAAGGGACATTCTGAATTCAGAGCCAAGTCAACCCTGAAACTTGGCCAGCACATCTCAAACGCTCTTTTGTTTCCTTGCAGCTACAGATGGCCGGTGAGGCTGGCCAGGGAGAGACAAAGCAGGGCTTTCCTCTGCTCCTTCACAGAAGGTGTGTCTGCCATCTGTGGCTAAGCGGACAGTGAAACAGGCACCTTCCAAGACCGGGTTCCCTTGAGCCAAGTGAAAGCATCACTCCCAGGACCAGCCTCTAGCTGGAAAGGACACTGGTTCAAATCACTGCTCCACACCCATGCCACACTGCTGCCTTAGAGGGGGCACAAGCAACACTTCCAACTACCACATTTACAAAGCTCAATCTTAAACCACAGACAGCTGGCTATTCGCTTGTGGATGCTACTGAGCACACTGCCGTTGAAAGCACACAACACTCCACAGCCAGGAAGGACACACGGACTGACTTACCCGCCCATCTTGCAGTCTCCAGTCCCACCTTTCCAGGCTCTGACGTACTTTGGATTGGCCCACAGGGACACTGGAGTGAAGGATCCACTAGAAAAATAAGGTCCCACGGGGCTCAGGATCACAAAGAGCAGGGCTTTGGAAGACTTCTTGACTCCAAGAGATGGCTATAATAGAGAGAAAAAAACATAACTCTGTAACTAATGAGACATCCTTCTTAGAGTCTAGAATAGACCTGGGTCCACATCGTAGAAGATCACCCAAACAAAGCTTAGTGATACAAAACCTTTTAAAGAAAATACTGGGACTGGAGAGATGGCTCAGTGGTTAAGAGCACTGACTGCTCTTCCAGAGGTCCTGAGTTCAATTCCCAGCAACCACATGGTGGTTCATGACCATCTGTAATAGGGTCCGATGCCCTCTTCTGGTGTACTTACATAAAGCAAATAAATCTTAAAAAAAGAAATCGCGCTTACCTCCCAGGGTGGCCTCATATTAAGCGCCGGGCGGTGGTGGCGCACTTTAATTCCAGCACTTGGGAGGCAGAGGCAGGCAGATTTCTGAGTTTAAGAGTTCAAGGCTAGCCTGGTCTACAGAGTGAGTTCCAGGACAGCCAGGGCTACACGGAAAAACCCTGTCTCGAAAAAAACTGACGCTGACAGGCAGATGCTGACAGGCTGACGCTGGGCTCCGGAGCTCCCTTTTACTTCAGTCTCCCCCACACCTGCCTCCAGCACACACTGCCTGCCCTCAGGCCTCAGGCCTCGTTTACCACCAAAAACCAGGTGGTGAATATTGGTAAGCCGGAAGCATCTGTGGGCTGGTGAGGCGGCTTATTTGCTGTGCATTCTTGACTGCCCGAGTTCAATCTCCAGAACATGGTAAAGAGCCAGGTGAGGCAGGGTGAGGCAGGATGAGGCAGGATGAGGCACCTGTGATCCCAGCACTCCTACACAGAAGATGGAAAACAGCCAGAAGCTGGTAGGCAAGCAAGCCTGGAGCTCACAACATGGCAGACAGACCCTGCCTCATTGAGGTGAAATGAGAACAGCTTCTGGAAGCTGTCCTCTGACTTACACGCTGTACTACTGTGCATGACACAGGTGTGTGGCACGCACACACTCACACACATACACAAACACACATTTGCACTCATACACACACATGCTCACACACCTATGCATATATACACATGCTCACAATCACACACAGATACACACATTCACACACTCAGATACATACACACATCACACATATATACACACTCACATACACATACATCAAACATACACACATATACACACATTCACACTCACACACACACACACACACAGATACATACATATGCATACATACACTTCACATATACACACACATCACACTCACACACTTTCTCACACACAGATACATACATAAACACACACCACACAAGAAATTCACACACACACATACATACACCACACACACACACACTCACACACAGGTCTGTGGGTAACGATGTCACCTGAAAGCTTCCCACCTCCCTCCTAATATGGTGCACTGTGTGACTGAGTCAGAAAGGCTGGTCTGAGAGCAGTGGGCTGGTTTGAATATGCTTGTTTAATTGGTTGGTTGCTTGCTTTGTTTTTGTTTTGAGACAGTCTCTACATAGCCCTGGCTGTCCTGGAACTCACTCTGTAGCCCAGGCTGGCCTCAAACACAGAGATCTGTCTGCCTCTGCCTTCCAAATGCTGGTATTAAAGGTGTTTGTCCTTTGTTAGGAACTATATTGGAAAAATCTCCCCTGCAGGATGAAAAACTCAAGAACTCTACTGTCCTCTCATCTGGGAGAGAGCCACACCTGGTCCATCCCATCTCTGAGGGAACCATCTTATCTCTGAGAGTTTATTTAAGGATGAGCCAAGAGGACGGTGAGACTGGTCCAGGAGTCAGATGGGAGGTAACTGAGGAAGTCGCTGTTGCAGCACCTTCTGTGTCTCTGATGCTCAGAGCACCTCTTTGTGGTTAAATGGCCTTGAAGCTGTTGGGATGTTTCTACTCTGTCAGAATCAAAGGCTTGGGTGGGGGTGGGGCCCTACTTTCCTAGTTGCCACACAAACACCCATGAGGGCCGGAGAGCTCAAAGGCCCTGGCTCCGGCAAACACTTTGCTTGCAGATGTCACTCTCTCTCTTCCCTTTTGGGCTTTTCTAGAAGCTGTGAGGAAGACCATACCCTAAAAAGGGAGACCCAATTCGCAATAGCCCAGGGGACAGGAGTCACCTTATCCAATAAATATGCCACCCGCCTTATAAATAACCATAAAAACATCTTTCAAAAATCCCAACACAACTAGTCAGGACAAGGAGAGGGGTTAATGGGAGGAGATTGGTCCAAATACGTTGTAATCGGGTACAAAATGTCATCAGACTCTTTAGGGATACTTAACATACACTACTGCAAAGTAAAGTTTCTAAATCCACAACCCAAAACTAAGTGGTCCACTCCTTCATTATGGGCCAGCCTGCTGGAGGCTCTCTTTGAGGAGCATCCTCTGCTTTGCTAGGTAAACTGTCTCTGAGGTCTTTCCTTTGAGAAGATGAGAACCAGGAACACCTGGCTTCCCAAGGGCCTCACCTGGCCTTTTGTTCCAGGTTGAGGATGTCATTTCCTGGCTTCCTGCCTGCCACCTGTCATTCCTCCCCTGCCATTTGGACTATCCCTCTGTAACCATAAGCCCAAATAAACCCTTCCCTCTACAAGTATCTTATCACAGCAAAAAAAAGTAACCAACTCAAGTGATAAAGGAATCCAGAGAGGCCACTCATCGGAAATTACGGGTATAATATGCTAGCTGTTATCTGAAGGCCACATCTAGCTTCTAAGTTTCTGAATGAATTGTCTGTCTTATGTACAACCTAATAGCACCTTGTCACCTACCACGTGAAGACTGGGCACCTCAGAGTGCACATACAAGAAGTATTTTACAGTAATTTAGTATAATGCAATTATACTTAAAAAAAAAAAGTGTAGCTAAAAAGGAATATTCTTTTTTCTCTGTACTAAATTTCACCTCATTCCGGCTGAGAAGGTAGATCTGTGGCAGAGCACACAAAGCTCTCATGCTTTCTAACAGTAGTACAAAAACAAAGGCAAGTTTCTCTTTGTCAATGGGCTTTCCCGACCTTGGCAAGTTGGTCTGTATTCCACTAGGTGGCAGCAGAGAGCACAGAAAGAGGCAGAGCTGGACACCTCCATCAAATCTCCCTCTGAAAAGGAATCTTGATGAGTCGTTTTACACATACCCATATCCTTACCAACAGCTAAGCTATACATTAGCATTTTTTAATGTTGGTCGAAGCTGTGGAGGAATGTAACTTGGTATTTTCTAAAATTTAATCCCGACCCACTCACGTCTGCAAACCTGAAGCTCCTCTGTGGACCGTGAATGGCTTCTATAGCTTACATTCATTGTCTGTCCATGAAAAGAACTCATTGACAGGGCTAGAGAGGTGGCTCAGTTGATCTTGCAGAGAACCCAGGTTCAGTTCCCAGCACCCACATGGAGACTCCCAGCTGTCTGTAACTCCAATCCCAGGCATCTGGTGCCCTCTTCTGGCCTCAAATGGGCACCGCACCCATCTGTATGGATAGACAATCTTCAAGGAACTCTCTGACTTTCCTTGGAGAACAAGTGAGGAGAAGGCCTCTATGTCACTTCAATACCGAGTGTGAGTCAAAATTCAGTCTAGGCTCCACGAAAGGGTTGGTGACAGGTGTTGCCCCATATACACACACACACACACTCAGGATCCCTGACTTAGCCCCTTCCACCAGTCCTCTCTTCTGCCCTGAAAAGCAATTTAGATCCTGTGCTCCTATTGAATGAGTTTTATTATGTGATGTCAACTGAATGACAGATGAGGTTCTGGGATGATAAAATTGTGCTTCTTATTAACTAGGAGAAAAGCCACATAATTAAATAAGGAACAAGGATGTCACCAGCTGGTGGAGACCACAAACAGCCTGCGACAAGTCTGTTTGTCTCAGGAACATTTTATCCTGGTTCTCATCTTAGCTTTGGGGCTAAGCTTCACAATAACGAGGCCCATCAGTCCTCTACATAAAGGGTGTGGTGAGAAACAAAGGCAACTTCACAGTGAGCATTAACCACTTCTTTCTGGGTCACCCAGAAATCCCTTCACAGAAGGCGGGATGTCACAAGTTATTTAAAGGATGACAGAAAGGGGTCAGTGAACTGAGAAATTCCATTAGTCTACAGTGTGGCCTCAGAGGCAGGGAGCACAGCAGCCGGCAAGGGGGGAGGACAGTTCTGACCGAAGCCAACAAAAGCAAAGAATAAGGTAGCTGGAACCAGAGGAAAACCAGATTGCTTGCTCTCAGAGACTTCTTTTTAAAAAGATTTCAGAGTTAAATGAGAAAATGGAGCCGGGTCTCATGCCTGTCATCTCGGCGTTTAGGAGGCTGAGGCAGGAGGATTTGTCAAGGCCACTTTAGCTACATATGATTTCGGGGCTGAATAAGTCTAGAAGAAGAAGAGAAGGAGGAGAAGAAGAAAGAGGAAGAGGGAGAAGAAAAAGAAGAGGAGGAAGAGGAAAGGGAAGGGGGAAGAAGAAAAGGAGGAGGGGAAACAGAAGAGGAGGAAGAGGAAGAGGAGGAGGAGGAGGGGGAGGAGGAGGAGGAACTTAGGGCTGGAGAGATGCCTAGGTGGTCTAAGTGTGTCTGTTGTTCCTACAGGACCCAAGATCAATTCCCAGCACCCAAGTCAGATACACCTTATATAAACTGTAATTCTAGCTCCCAGGGATTCAAAACCCTCTCCTGACATCTCCAATCACAAGGTAGGCATGTGCTGCACACACGTACATGCAGACAAAACACTCACATACATGTAACAATAATAGAGATAACACAGTACCCAAGAGCTTCCCTGAATGCACCTGCTGCTGTCTGAGTTCCATCCCCTGCTCAGCACAGTGTGATTCAATTCTCCTCCCTCTCCAACTTCTATATCCTCTCCTGCCTTCCCCTCCTCTATTACCAACTGGTTTATGTCCTCTGAAATCCCCTTTGAAGCCCTGACTCCCTGCATTAATGCCTTTGCTCGCTGCTGTGAGGAAGGAATAGCATAGGGAACTCTGAGGTGTCTGATCTCTGTGTCCACAATCAGGGAGCAGAGAGACAGGGATGGGCACTCATGTCAGCACTGGTTCAGGTCCCTTTTATTTAGTCAGGGACACAAGCCCATGAGTTGGTGCCACAACATTCAGGATGGGTCTTCTCTGCTCAGTTAAACCTCTCTGCTAACACTCTCATGGGCTCACCCAGAGGTGTGGCTACTAATCAATCGTAAATCCGGTCAGGCATAGAGTAAGCTCTGATATGACTGCCCAAAGCCACGGGGCCTTTAAGTTGGTGCATCATGGGAGGTCACTGGCAAAATAACTGCAGTTTGAGCTGCTCAGGCTGTGAGGGAAAGCCTCACAGATCTCAACTCTTGGTCCCCAGTTGGCAGAGATGTCTGGGAAGGCTATGGGACCTTTAGGAGATTCAACCCATGTTAGAGGAAGCATGTCACACTAGGCAGCAGGGGTATGGGGTTTGAGGGTTTATAATCTAACCTCACTCCCATCTCTCCCTTGTGCCCATTGCTGTGCCTTCCCAACAGGATGAACTCCATCTTCCAGGAACCTCACATAAGCTGAAATAAACTCTTTCTTCTCCAAGCTGCTTTTGATCACAGTATTTAATCACAGCAACAGAAAAGTAATTAATTCATTGTGGCACTGTGACAAACCAGCCAGTCACACTAAGACTCATCCTGGTGGCATCCGACACTGAAGCCCATCTCATCTTACAAGTCCTTCAGATGTCACTTCAGGAACAAGTGCCCCTAGCCTGAGTTAGGTGCTGTGGTATCTGGCGCTCCAGCGTCCTGCTTGTCAGAGGCGGACTAATCTGCATCTTAAATTTACTCATCTCTTCCCATTTTGGTAACCAGTGTAACTCTGTAAAGGAGGACCATTTTTAACATACAAGTTTTGTCTACATGTATGTAAGTGTACTGTGTGTGTGCCTGGTCCCTGCAGAAGCCAGAAGAGGGCTTTAGAACATCTGTAACTGGAGTGAGCCACTGTGTTGGTGCTAGAAACTAAACTCAGGTCTCTGCAAGAGCAGCAAGTGTTCTTAGCCACTAGTCATCTCTCCGGCACTATTTTTCCTGATTTTTATTAAATATTTATAGAAAAACAACCAAACCTTAGTAAGACATCCCTTATAGAAAATGACTATACAGTCGGGCACAGAAGCAAACACCTGTAACCTCAAACACTCAAGAGTCTGAGGCAGAAGAATCATCGTGTAGTCAAGTCCAGCCTGAGCTACAAAGTGAGTTCAGGCCCATCTGAGATACAGGAGACCTTGTCCGATACAAATAACCTCAAAGCCAATACATCTGAAGGTCACACAGCTGAGGGGGACACTGCTGGCCTCCTGAAGGCTTTGCTACTAGAGAACAGCTCTGTCCTACAGATTCAGGTGACAGTGACGAGTCCCTGGTTACTTTTCAGGGATTCTGAAGGTCACTTCTGAGAACAGTGACTTCACACTTTGACTTAAAATGTCCCATAGGGTGAGAGAAAAGGACAAAAGAGGCCTAGCATCTCTGCATGAGTATTTCAACCCACTAGGCTAATGACACCTCAGAGATGCCAGGCCCAACACAGTAGGTGTACTGGTTGGTTTTGTGTGTCAACTTGACACAAGCTGGAGTTATCACAGAGAAGGAAATGCCTCCATGAGATCCAGCTATAAGGCATTTTCTCAGTTAGTGATCAAGAGTAGGAGGGCCCACTGTGGGTGGTGCCATCCCTGGGCTGGTAGTCTTGGGTTCTATAAAAAAGAAAGCTGAGCAAGTCAGGGGAAGCAAGCCAGTAAGTAACATCCCTCCATGGCCTCTGCATCAGCTCCTGCTTCCTGATCTGCTTGAGTTCCTGTCCTGACTTCCTTTGGTAATGAACAGCAATGTGGAAGTGTAAGCTGAATAAACCCTTTCCTCCCCAACTTGCTTCTTGGTCACTGATGTTTGTGCAGGAATAGAAACCCTGACTAAGACAGCAGGATGTGCAAGGTGCAACAGTGGAACCAGGAGGGTCCCTGCCTCCTTCTCCACTGCCTGCTCCCCCTCCTCCTTCTCCCTCCTCCAAGCCACTATGCTCAGCTCCTGCAGTTGGAAAGTGGGTCTGTGAGCAAAGCTGCTTCCTGCATTCCTGACACTGAAGAAAGGTCCCATCCCCCACAGCTCAAGTCACCATCACGGAAAGGAAGCTGTCAGTGACACAAATGACAGGTATTATGGCCTTTTCCACTGAGGGTTAACCTCTAGGCTTATGACACCTCAGAGAGGCCAGGCCCAGCCCTGCAGGGTGCGAGAAGATGCATCATACAAACAGGGAATTCCGTCCTAGAGCTCAGCACTCTGAGGTAAACCTGAAAATGAGCCAGGCGGTGGTGGCACACGCCTTTAATCCCAGCACTTGGGAGGCAGAGGCAGGTGGATTTCTGAGTTCGAGGCCAGCCTGGGCTACACAGAGAAACCCTGTCTCGAAAAACCAAAAAAAAAAAAAAAAAAAAAAAAAACTCAAAATGAGCACCAAGGGAAAAAAAGACAGATTGTGAGGTTGGGACCTGAGATGTTTCTAAACACCTGGGAAATCTAAAATTGGTCCTAAGCAGAAATGCACACACAGGGAAACTGGGAAAGGGTCAAGAGGAGGAGGACACAACACATTGTCACTCAGACAATGTCATTTGCTTGCTGCCACAGTTGTCGGCCCACTCCTTCCCTTCCGGTGTGATGGGACACACTTGCTCTGTGTTCATGGACAGGGCAGACTGAGTGGCTACATGGCTTGTAAAACCTAAGGTGTGTGCCGCCTGGCCTGTTACAGAGGAAGTTCCTGGGCCTGCTCTGAGCTGCAGGGCCGCACAGCAAGAGATGTCTCATACGACAACTAGGAATCTCCTCACTGCTCTGATCTTACATTCCAGCCACTAGCTCAAGCTGGGAAGAGGAGAGAGCAAACACACAAGACAGATGTGGGGATTCGTGCTAGCAATCCCACTCGGGAGGCAGAGGCAGGGAAGTGAACAGGGAGAGAGGCTGAGTTCCTAACCCTCAAAACTAAAGTATTCTTATCCAAGCTACCAATTCCAGAACTGGGGAAGCTGACCCAATAGTAAAATTGATGCCAACCTGGGCTACTACAGGGTAAATTCTAGGCTAGTGGGGCTAGGCTAATGAGAACTCCTCGAGATAAACACAAGTAAGGTGTTGTGTTTCCCTCCAAGACTGAAGCATTCCACCCACCTCAGATGTTCCTCAAGCAGTAAGGTAAACAACTCAGAACAGTTCAGAGAGTCCCTGATTCACTACCGCCCCAACACTCTGGCTAGAATAAGCAGTAAAAGCTGAGGGTCTGTCTCAGGAAAGCTAAGCTGCAGAGAAGACTCTGAGGCGGGACCAGCTGTGGAGGAAGCAGAAACCAGTCAAACTGCCTGGAAGACTTAGATCAACTGAGAGATACCCGGAAAGGACACTCCAACCTGCTGAGCTGCCTGCAGGCTGTGGTGTGCCCCAGGTCCCCAGCTTTGGGAGCTGTCACCTGTGCTGAGGTGGGCTTAGGTGATGCAGCTGTCTTTGAGTCATTTCTGCTCCTGTAAGTGACCCCTCACCTACATACCTGTAAGTGACCTCTCATCCATATTCCTGTAAGGACCGATAATAAAACTCATTGGCTTACCAAGCTGGACTTTGGTGGTATGGGCTTCAGTCTGTTATGGCTCCCCAGAATAAGGTTTGTCAGCCAAATGACAAGTCCCTTACTAACATCTATAGTTAAGACATCTCCAAAGAGGCCAACTAACACTTAAGGCTAAGTGTCAGGGAGCAAGAAGACACCAGGTCAGGTGACCAAGGGCACAACACTGAGAACAAACACTGAAGCAAGGCACCAGGCAACAAACTACATTTACATAAAGAACAGACACAGGTAGGAAGCCTCAAGACAGACATTACCAATCAAAACCTGATGTGCTGCGAGCAGGCACTGTAATCAATGTGGGATTTTGTAATCAATACCCGGGGATCAGACAACTTGGTGTCTCCACAGAGAAAGTGAGCTCTTTAACAAAGTCCACATTCACGTGGGTGAGGTTGAAAGGAAATAAAGAAAACTTTAAAACAGAGGAAAGACCAAGTGAAGAAAGAAGCCTTTAAAACACATTAAAAAAAAAAAAAAGGTCCAAACAGTAACTTTATACTACAATTAAATACTTGAGTCAGGCAGGTTACCCACACATGTAGCCCCCAACACTTGCAGGCTGATCAAGAAATCAAACCAACAGGAGCTGCGTATGGTAGTACACAGTTTTAATCTCAGCACTCGGGTGGCAGAGGCAAGAGGACTTGGCGTTCAAGGCCAGCCTGGTCTATAGAGCAAACGCCAGGACAGCCAGGGCTACACAGAAGAAACCCTGTCTCGAAAAACCAAAAAAAAAAAAAAACAACAAAAAAACCCCAAGTACTCTCCCTGCCAAAAGTTCTCCAGCATGAAGACAGTATCTACCTCCAAAGGTCTTCATGAGGGAGCCACACCTCTGCAAGCTCAGGACTAGCAATTAGTCTTCATCAAGGAAGGTCAAGCATTACTGGGACGTGTGTGTGTGTGTGTGTGTGTGTGTGTGTGTGTGTGTGATTCAAAAATGAAAATGACCTTTGGGGCGTACAAGATGACTCTGTGAGGATGGAGACACTTTCTGCCAATCCCAACTAGCAGAGCTCCATCCCCAGAGCGTACATAGTAGAAGAGCCAATACCCAAGATGCCTCTGACCTCCACACACATGGTGGCACACCCACCCCCACTCATGTACACACATCATCTCAAAAATATGCACACACACCACGGAGCACATATGCCCACTCATGTACACACAAAAATCAAATAAGTTTAAAAGACTTTTTAAATGATTAAAAAAAAAAAAAACCTCTCCCTAAATAGAATCAGACTGTACCTCAGTTCCGATAAACGTGGGGCGGATGTAGAGACTGGCAGAGGTGGAGTAGGGGACCCACTCTTGGTCTAGCTGTATAAGCTGTAGAATGCATTCTAGAAGTTCCTCCTTGTCAAACATCTGAAAAGACAGAATCCCTAATAAGTCCCAACAAAGGCCACAGATGCAGGCTCCCAGATCAGAGAGCTGACGGAAGCTCAATTTTCAGAATTCCTCCCGTGTTGCATTCCCAATTGGCTCCTTGAAATGAACAGCTTTTATTCACTCTCTCTTAACATAAAACATCATGAAAGGTTATCTGTAATAAATGCTTTAAAACACACACACACACACAACTGTGAGTCCCTCTGGCAAACTGTGACTTATTCATAAGGAAAAGATAAGAAGTTCGATTCTCCGAGGCTAGACTAAAGAGGCTCATGCCACCAAGCCTGATGACCACATGGCGAGAAAGCCAAGCTGCTTCTGAACTCTACACTGCCACCCTGCCCCAAGTAAACAGAGAAACAAATAAATAAATGAGATTTCTGAAAAAGAAATTAGATCCCTACTGACCATATTCCCACATCAGTTATAATTATATTCTTACACTCAAATGTAACAAGTTTATGATCTTTATTTTAAAGTAGACATCTGTTTCCTCTTGTCAAACCCTTATATCAATTATAGTTGGATTTTATACTCAAATCTAACAAAATAGTATGACTTCTATTTAAAAATTTGTATCTGTGATCTCTTCTGTTCTCAATTGTAACTGGATATTATGGTCAAGTGTAACAAAGTATCATGATGACTATTTTAAAAATAGATACCTACAACTAACTTTAAGGTTTAAAACAACCTCTTACCCAGGAAACATAAAACACAAACCACAAGGGAAAATAAAGATAAAATTTATCTATTTGAAACTTCAACTCTGGCTTTTCGGAACGGGAAGCTGCTAGTGAGATGCCAGTGATGAATTGCACCAGGGCATGTTCTGAACTGACCGCTGGTCACAAAGACAAGGGGACAGCCCATTCCTCAGGGGACATCAGCTTATCCCAAAGGTGACAAACATGCTTTATAAACTGGTCAAGTAGTTTCCACGCATCCACAGACCAGAGAAGGACACTTTCAGATGTGATGTGTTACGCAAGGGGGAACAGCGCCACATACTAACATGATCACAGTGTGCTAGCATGATCACAGTGCACTAACATGATCAGTGTGCTAGCATGATCACAGTGCACTAGCATGATCATCACAGTGTGCTAGCATGATCACAGTACACTAGCAAGATCATCACAGTGCACTAGCATGATCACAGTGCACTAGCATGATCACAGTACACTAGCAT